GATGCTCAGCCCCGTGCCCGCCGCTGCCCTGCTCACCTGGCTGCCGGAGATGAGGGGGGCCGAGGGGATGCGGTGCAGGGCCTCCAGGCTCTGCAGCATGCCCGTCAGCTCCTGCAGCTTCCCCTGGCACTCTGACAGCTCTGCGACAGGCACAGTCAGCCATGGGGGTCCTGGCACCCCCCCACCCCGTGCATCCCCTCCCATCCTGCTCACCGGCTGAGCAGCGCTCCAGCCCCTCGCTGTCCTTCAGCCAAGCGTTCACCTTGTCCCGGGAGCTGGCGAGGGAGGAGAGGGCAGGGGCACTGCCCGAGGGCAGGATCCGCGTCCACGGGCCCTGCAGCAGGGGAGAAGGGGCACCACCGGGGCTGCCATCGGGAGCCCCTCGCCCAGACGCATCCCTCGCTCCCCCTCGCATCGCCACCCTGAGGTGCCACCCACCTGCACGTTGGTGGGGGTCCTCCCGACAGGACCCCCCCTGGGGCAGGGCTCAGGCCCCTCGCCCTGGTGGTGGGAGCAGAGGCTGCTCACCCAGCTGGCGAAGAGCTCCGGGGACTTGATCTACAGGACAGGGGCGAGTTGGGTGGAGGGGACCCGGGTAGGGGGGACCAAATGCCCCTAGACCCAGCTCCAGCCCCCACCAGCACCTTGAGGTGGTAGATATTCTCCTCTGTGTCCAGGTCGACCCGCTGCGCCTTCTTGTTGACGGACATGACAGACTGACGGACATCAATGGCTCCGTGCAGTTTGCCCTTGAGGACCTGGGGGACCCCAGGGATGCCTGTCAGGGGGAAGACCCCCTTCCTCATGGGGTCCATGGGGTCTCCCCCACCCTGAGCCCTTGGAGAGGCTGCACGGACGCAGCCCGGCCCCACACTCACGTCCTGCCGCGTGGTGGCATATTTCAGGATGCCATTTTCCAGCACAAAGTACCTCTGGGGACAGAGAGGGACGATTGTTGCAGGAGGGGGTAGAGACTGGTCCCTGCAGCCCCCCCATCCAGGGGCCCAAATCGCCCCAGGGATGGGGATGGCGCCCAGGACTGGGCGGGTGGCCAGGGGACAGCTCCCAGTGCCAGCTCTGCCCTGTTACCTTGTGCCAGCCCTTCAGGGGCCATTTCCTCTTCTTGAGCAGGTAGCCCTCGTGCCGCTGCGGCTGCTGGCCTGGGCTGCCCTGCGCATACGGCTCCTCCACCACCTCCCAGCTCTCCAAGCCCTGCCAGGGAAGGGGATCAGCATGGGGGTCCCTTGGCACCAGGGTGCTCCCCACCTTGTCCCTGGGCAGGGATGCTTGGTACTCCCCAGGGGATGGAGCATCTCTGTATCCCCCTTCTTAAAGTGGGGTGAAGCCCCCCAAGGCCCCATGGCAGCCCCAGTCAAGCCT